AACCTAGCTCACAGTGATACCGAGAGGATAAAATGGAGGAGCTACTTTCAGTCCCCACTGGGGACAATTGTAAAGTATAGATTTTCTGCATGCTCAACTTACTCCTGCTTTTCTTGGCAGTCAATCCACAAGCACAAAACAGTTTGGGTGTGGTTCTCCCAAACACCTGCCCTCCATCTGCATTTTTACAGCTGTGAAGTCAGTTTATTTTCTTCTGCACATGCCTTCAATAATGAGGATTTTCAAGGAAGGTTGTTATCATCAGTGGTGTCATCACTGATGTCACAGCACTCCCTTTTTTTTAAAAAAATGCCACTAAAATACCGATATATCACTAGAGGCTTAGCAGGTTCTCGAAATCCCCAGCTTTTAATTTTTTTAAAAAGTCAGTCTCTAGCTCCTACCTTGTGGAGATACAAGAAAAAAGGCATGCCTCTATGAGGGAAAGGGATAAAGACTTGCTTCTTTTTTAAAAATGAAAGATGGGAATTCAAAGAACCTGCTAAGCCTATTGTTACAACACTCTAATGATATATTAATATTTTAATGCCTTAAAAAAACACTCATCTTCAGGGGGGAGTTGTTTAACCACCACAGTCCAATAATTGAAAAGTGGGCTAGAAGAGAATGAAAGTGGGACAAAGAAAACCAACATAAACATTAGGCACAAGGAAAAAGATGACTCAAAATCAGCTTCCAGAAAAAGACTGGGGTAAAAACAGTCTCAAAACAAGGGGCGGGGTGGAAAACCAAAAAAATCTGAACCAAAAATATAAAGGCACAAAAAAAAATGCAAAATCTGAGGATAAACTGAAGCAGTATGGGGCCAGAACTGATCAAAAAAACATGATGAAAAGTCCATGAGGTCAATGAAATGAACCATGTAGAATGTTCTTGGTACACATTTTGTGATCAGTGCAACTCTACATGCAGAGTGGAAACTTTATGCAACATTTCTGAAGTATGACAGTGATGTTACATTTTTCTTGACTCAGTATTAGAAATATCACCAGATACTTCAGTGATTTGCTATTAAAGATATACATCTCACTGTTATGATGTATTAGATTAACACAAGTACATACTCAAACTGCAACTCTGTCACTTCAACAGAACTAAAAGCATACTCCAGGGGCCTGCAGACTTCATAGTAAAGCTGTGGACTTCATAGTAAAGCCAACAAGAGCCACACACAGAATACTACTACATCACTGTTTCAGATGAAGGTGATGAACCCATTAGGCTTTTACCTGGGTAAGCCCCACTGGTCTGGCATTACACACCAGTCATGCTACGTACAACGCAAAGTCCATCAAAATATCTGCAGGACTTGGAAAATGTGCTGGCCTGCCTTTATGAAGAAACAAGGACTTGGATCCTATGCCTTCACTCCATGTGTACATCTCTTTGAGCATTGCAGAGGCTATCCTCTGCCTGCAGAGTGCCCTTCCTCTGGAACTGGGCATTTCCATTTGCATAAGAATAATGTTTTTAAGGGGCCTTGGTGAGTAGCATGAGAGGAATGTCCCCTGCAGTGGAAGACAGGCTCCACATTGGCATGCAGAACACAGATATAGGATCCAAGCCACACCATCTGGCATCTGTTCCATGAAAGACTTCTTTCTAGTATGCACCAATGTCCCTGCCTATCACAACAAGTTATTCAAATACCAGGATTCTAATGCATCCGCCACTTACAAAGCAATGCCTCAAAGATGGGTTTTGAGTCACTCGACCACCAGCAGCTGGTGACAACCAAAAGTGAGTTTTCAAGGGAGACATTTCCTGCTCCTGAGAAAGTCCCATGGCTCACTGGCCATGCTTTTCATGAAAGAGATCCTAGTCTTGATTCCTGGCATCTCCAGTTAAAGGATCTCAGGTAGCAGATGGTGGGGAAGGACCCAAGATCCTGCTGAGCTGCCGCCAACAGGCTATAATGTTGTTGATACATCTGAACTCTTTTTGTTGAACACCACTGTTTCCATTCCAAAAAAGTTTCAGAGAACAGCTTTGTATACCATAACAGCAGCTAGAATGATACTAGCCAAACTCTAGAAACAGAAAAAATTCCAACAAGGAAATCCTTTTTTGGTAAGATCGCTTTTACTTCTATATGTTGCTACCAGCCTTCCAAAAACATTGACTTAACTTGGGGGAAAAGTACTAAGCAGCATGGAATAAATCATGTAAGTACACACATTCTTCTGTGCTTGTATATTTTATGACACATTACATATGTATTGCTTATCTGCATATCTTCAAATGATAAAATAAAAAGAAATGCCAAAAAAAAAAGCTGCTGCCGATTGGAAAAGACAATCCTAAATTAAGCAAGATCAATGGGCTGATTTCGTATAAGACAACATCACTCATCCAAAGGCTATATCACTTTGGCAGATGACAGGACCCTGTTCTAGGTAAGATATTAATAAACTCGCCAGCCAGTAATAGGACTTTATAGAAGTCCAAGGTCAAATTTAGCTTACATTACCCTCTGCAAACTGTTATACAATTCCACCCCCCAATCACTTTCTATTAACTCTGACCCAGCTGTAAAAATCCATCAACCAACAGAACCTATTCAAGAGTACAGAAGGGAAACAAAATTCATTAACTCCATCTAACTTGCAATGTTAAATAGTTTCTTCCTCAACAGTAGTTTCAGTTTTCCCTTCGTCCAAAATATTTGATCTCATCTGCAACTCTGGTTCCAGTGAATGCATTCCAATTCATTTTCTCTCTGCATTTGTCTGCATTGTGACAAGCCTAAAAAAAAAAGGTAATTCGAAAGAGAAAATTAACACAAATGTCACACTAAAGTAGCTTTGCATACTGATACACCATCACAGCTGGATTCTCCATTTCAGGCATTAAACATTACAAAAAAGTCTTCTCAGCCCGTGAGGCCATGAACAAAAACAACACCAGGAAACTTAGCAAAACTATTTCAGATTCAATGCCCTATTGTCAATTGGCAGGGTTTTGTACGGCAGCAGTAACAAGAGATCTATTGAACATAAAAGAGTATCCATACCTGCCTTTTGAGCAGCCAACGATAATATCAAATATGAGTTTTATCACACCTTACACACAGGTAAATTCAAAATAATGTAAAAATCAAACCTTCACAGCCCAAGAGTAACAAAAAAGTACAAAGAGTTAAACGCTCGTGTAGGAGTCATAAAAGACTTTTGTCGAGACATTAATCCAAGATCCAAAGAGCTAATTTTGTGACTGCTGGGGGCTTGTGTGTCCCCAGTATGATTTGCAGGGGGGGTGTCTCTAATTGATCATCAGCACATGTCGCATCGCAAACTGGGTCTTTTAAGCTTCTCAGCTCAAGAATTACTTGATAAGTGCAACAAACATTTGCTGAAACCTAAACCCAACTCACCCGCTGAAGCATATTAAATTGTTTAAGTTTGGGAACCCTGCCTACTCTGTACACTATATAAAAGTATGCTCACAAAAGGTTAACAATGTACACTAAATCATTCTAATAAGCTATCTTTAATATAACAGCTATATATCAATGGACTAAACCCTATTGAGCCAGGAGAAAAAAAACTGAATATAATCAAGCCTTGGAGCAATTTACAAATCAAACTGGCCTAATTTCATGCAGTTGTAGAAGCCAAATTTGAACAATACAAACTGTGAAACATAATTTGATTTTGATAAAAACTGGAAGGCACGCCAAGATTTGAAGGCAGAGGAAATAGCTTGAAAGTTCTTCCCCACTCCAAAAAAAAAAATCCCCATTGGATCCTAGAGGTCCTTAGATACTCCCACCAAGCTAATTAGTCCTCCTCATCCTCTTTTGCTCCCTTCAACCAACTCTCAACTGCTGTCCACAGTTTATACTCCTTGAACATACTCATTCCTTCCTCATCATGTGATTTTCAGGTTGGGGGCAGGAGAGAGAGAAGAGAATCTTTTTCCCCCTGGTTAATTTACAAAGTCAGTTTTCTGCATACCTAATCTTTAGAAACCCCTAACTTGCCTGTGAATGGCTCGATTCCGATGTTTTGTGTTTGGTATGGAGGCTAGTGATTTTATTGTATATACAACTGTATGTTAGTATAGGAATATACTAGAGATGCCAGTGAGATTGATTTAGAAACCGAAACTAATTCAAACTTAATAACACTACTGAGCAATGATGCCTTTCAAGTCACTGAAACTTACAAGATGCAGTTAACTGATTTACAAGAACAGTTTACACCACTTTCCCAATATATAAACTCATGGGATAGGCAACTGGACGCATTGTCACTGAAGTTCAAGGGGGAAATATTTATCAGAGGAAGTTAATATCTGATTATGGGGCTGCGGTGGCTCAAGTGGTTAAGACACTGAATTGAAGGCTGGAAGGTCAGTAGTTCAGCAGTTCGAGACCTGAGTGCGCCGCATGATGGTGTGAGCTCCTGCCAATTTAGCAGTTTGAAAGCAAGAAATTGCAAGTACATAAATAGGTACCACTTCGGTGGGAAGATAAGTGTTCCGTGCGCCTCGGCATCTAGTCATGCCAGCCACATGATCATATAAATGTCTTTGGACAGCGCTGGCTCTTTGGCTTGGAAACTGAGATGAGCACCGCATCCCTAGTGCTGGCTTTTGAGCAAGGGAAACCTTTACCTTTAACCTAATATATGATTAGAGGACTATGTGGGTGAATCTGCTACACCTTTCAGCATTCCCTATTGTGACTCTCCTGCACTGTAGTTTAGAGAGACTACTGTATGCAATTCTGAAACTGATGAAGTTCCATCTAAGCCTCTAGAGAGAAAAACTTCTTTTCAGAACTCTAGTAACACTTCACAGATATTCCTGTGCTTTATTTATGGGTTACTCTAGTTTTAGGCAAAACAAAGTCCATGGGGGCCAGGCAGGCAAATACATATTAAGGACACATCAAATTTTAAAAAGTTATGTGACTGTAGCATAAAGTTGTCATTAAGCCTATGAAAGCAGGAACTGGTTTTTTTTAATGAACAAACCTGGATATAATGGGGCACTAAAGATGATCTGGGGGAACACGACCATCAGAAATCGGAGGAAGAAACTAAGAAGTCTAGCAGCACCTCAAGGAACAAAAACATTTATTTCAGTATGAGCTTTCGTGACTCACAATCACTTATTCAGATATGGGAAACAGAGACCATATGGGAAAGATTAAGAGAGGGGGAAAGGCAGAAAGGTTTGGTATGAATCCCAGCATGAATCTTTTAAATGTAAAATTTTCTGTGTAAGGGGGAAATGGAAGGTGGAACGGTTAAGGTGTGAATCCCACCATAAAGCATCAGAATTAACAGTTTACGCATAACAGATAATGAAAGAGGTTCAAACAGATAAGCAAAGTGATAAAGTAGGATAAACAGGTTAAATACTCGGGGAGAAGTAATCTGAAGTTTAAAATAAGAATGAGTACAGTGTTTATTTTCCTATCAGCTCTAAACTTTATTTCTAAAAAAAAAAAAGCAATACATAACAGACTGGATCCAGACTAAGTAGCCAGTGGGGGAACGGAACTTTCCTGCCTTTCTTTTCCCACAGCATCCCATTGATCCCCACGAAATACTGCTCCTGGGGGTCAGGAGACCCTGAGGAATGATGTGGAGGAGGGGTGTCTGCAGCAGCTGGGCAGTACTGGCAGTTTGGTCTGGATCCAACCCAGCATGCTAAAACAATAGTATGACTTGGTGACATAGACTTGAAATGCTTAAGGGGAACCCAGAAATACATTTCCAGAAGAAATGCAAGCAGTGCACTTAAAAAAGAAAATGTCTCCCAAGCCTATTGCATTGTCCTGCCATCTCAATGGTTATATTCCCTCACTCCTTGGACTGGGGTGTCAGACATAAGGCCTGGGGGATGGAACCAGCCTGTCCAGGGCTATTTTCTGGCCCACAAGCAACTAGTACGAACAGGAAGCTTCAGGGGAGGTGAGTGGGCGGAGCCACTCCTATTGTGGTCTCGACACGGCAGAACAGCCTTATCTGCAGCAGTCAAGCAGAAACCCTTCGCTTCAGTGGCAGCCACATTCAGCCACAGCCACATTCATGCCAACTCAATGTTCCAAGGTGAGGCTGCACATTTCTCTGCTTGGCCTACAGCTCCAGCGATGCTGTCCTGGATGGCTGTGGAATGGCGCTTGCATATGAGGGAGCACAGATGATCTTCTGCTGGGGCCCTGCTGGTGGCCAGCGTCACTGCCATATTCTCGTCCCCCCCATGAGGCAGCTGCGCTTTGGCCTGTGGAGGGGCAAGTTCTTCCGCAGTCTCTTTCACACACCGGGGCCTAGTCCTGTCACCAAGCACATGACTTGGTGGCCGGGCCCTGCTCCCCCATGGGCCACCAGGCAGCCTTCAGTCTTAGGCAGCTTCCGCCTCACGGGGTCAGTGTCAGCAACCCACGGTTATACTGGCCACTGGGTGGCCTGGGGCCTCTGCCACACACACAGCCTTTTGTACCTAGTGCCTGCTGTCCCATCAGATGATCCAACAACCTTCAGCCTGGGGCAGCTGCTACTGCATGTGAGTGGCCCAGCTTGCTGATGATCTGTGGCTTGAACCCCCAGCATCGCCCCAACCATCAATCACCTGGCGGCCTTAGAGGCAGCTGCTGCCACACGGGCATCTCCAGCTTTTTCTTTTTCTTTTTCATATACAAATCTTCTCCTCAAGGCACTTTGCATCATGAACTAAGTCACGCCCAGTGAAACGTTTGTTTTCAGGATGTATTTATGGTAGAAAAACCAGGAGAAGATTTGTATATGATATGTCAAACTGTGGTATGAATGAAACTAGTTTAGCATAGGAATTTATCTGATGAACAGGCAAAACGAAGAGTCATTCTGGAGGTTTTCGTCGGATTCACTTGTATTTTGATAGTTCACCTTCACCTGAAACTCACCATTCTTTTGTGTATTAGCATCTGCTTTAATATTGTCGTATGTTATTATAATACTTTCATACGCTCAAGCGCTTTGTTCTATCAGTCTGTGCTTCGTTTGTTTAGATCATCTCAGGACTGTGTTCTCCATCGCATATGTGTTCTTATAGATCTCAAGCAAAGTCCATGATATAATTTTGAAAGCAATATTGACTGACATACCTATTCCTGAACTTGCTCCAGTAACGATTATCACTTTTCCACTCATATCTCGTCCCTGAAGAATTTCCATTGCAGTGGTGCTTCCGTCGTACTTCTGCTTGGCGTTGAGCTTCATCGGGTTATCTTCCACTGTGAAGGCCAGTCTTGGGTCAAGATATGTTGTCCTTTTGTTTATATGGCTTAAGACAAAGAAAAAATAAGTTTTCATTCTGATTTCACTTCCCTTATGCGAACATTACAAAACACTGACAACATGTTCATCCTCAGACCTAAAGAAAAAAACCCACAATGTCAGCCTAAGAGCCAGTGTGGGCAGTAGCTGAGCTAGAGTGTTGGAGCAGAATCTGGGAAACATGCGTTCTGACATCGAAGTCTGTAGGGTGACCTTCAGTCAGTCACACACTGCCAGCCAAACCTTCCTCACAGGGTTGTTGTATGGATAATACAGAGAAGAGAACAATGTAAGCAGCTTTGGATCCCCATTGGGGAGAAAGGCAGGGTATAAACACAGTAAATAATACACACCAAACTGCCCAGTCTTATTAGTCATGCATTTTTAGTATTACTGATCATCCTCTAGCAATAATTATTAGTAACGCATATCAGGAGTTCCTAGATTTTTGTCATGACTACACCTCTGAGAAAATTAACTCTCTTCTAGATCTCGGTGCAACCTCCTGAAAGATGGTATTTGACCCCATACGTTTTTCAATATGGCCTGCTTTCCTACTTGGAGACAATTCACAGCTCCACTCCCTCCAGTTCCACTTATATAGTAACATCTGTCCCATCAACAGTTTTCACCACCAGAAATCTGGTTGAAAACAAGGCCAAACAGCAGCTGTGTCATCCACCCAGCCCCAATTTAGTCATCCCCCACTTTCTTCCCCCTGAATCAGATTCCCAATTTTGCCAATTCCATCTCAGACATTTCCACTACAGTTTTACTGTGAATGCAGTAAGAATGAGAAAGCAATTGATCACAAGCAGTCAAAGAACTGCTAGCATTTGTGTCCAACTGGTGCACTCTCAGGGGATATGAAACTTTCTGAAACCCTCACCTAGGTGACAAGTAACACATTTCCCCAAGACTTTCTCCTTGTTGCACAGGGGCAGATAGCAGTTTAGATGTGCAGGAGGTAAAGGTGGAAGCAAAATGTTGTAGCAAACCTGGAACAGATCTAGAGGTCACAGGAGTTCCCTGACCCTTGAACAAGTTACATTGTTACCCTCCATCAGCCAAAGTCATTCGCCGGCCATCAAAATCCACATCATGTCATTACATTTAACTAATTTTAGCATGTGTGGCCAAAACAGAATAACTAGCATCATTTCCATGACACTGCTAAGGGTACCTTTAGCACAGAATTACCACCACAATATGCTCACTTAACCAGAACAAAATTTTCAGCATGACAAAATCTTCAGCTATGCACCCCGCAGTCCTTCCAACAACAAAAACAGACTGATGTTGTATAATTCAGATTCTTGCTGCCACCTACAGTAGCACTGTGTAATTTTTGAAGACAGCACTAGTCTGCTGCTGCAACTCTGTCCCAAATTTCTCTTTATTCCTTAACAAAGCACTTGCACTGTAATAGTAAAAAGTCAATCTTAGGTGGTTGTATCAATCCTTCCAGCAACAATTCTGCTATTTTCCAATTATAATGAGGACACTGTGCCAACACTTGAAATCCCAATCTAGTTATGATACTAATGAGCAAGTTTTTCTGTTATATATTATCAACTTAGCAGCCCTCCATTTTGAGTGATGACCTCAATGTTGGCTTCATAGGCACTGATTCCAAACTGATAAACGGAGAGGTTTGATTTTAATATGGCTACCCAAACTAGAAGAACCCAACGCATTTCTTTGGGGATGCTGTCATGCACTTTTTTCCTGTCCTGCTTCCCTACTTCTGTAAATCCATGGAACAGTGTGGCAGCTATGATGTGATGGGGGGAGGCGCTGAGGCAACTCCCTTCTGGACTGAAGAATATCACCTCCCCCCCCCCCCGGCCCGGCCTCTCCTATAAATTCTTTAAACCCCAACCACTCATAGTCAAATAAAAAAGGGGAACAAAAGCTCTAAACAAAAGATTAGTTGCATGTAAGCTGTGTGTTCCCTAGAGGTTTTTTATTTGGAAACCTGCAAGGCCAAGGCTGAAGTAAACAGACTACATGTTTTCTTAGATATCTGACTTGACAGGCAAGACGCAGCTGGAGATGAACAACCAAGGGTTATTTAACAGAAAATAAAGTATTTTATAAGGTAAACATGATATGTGGATAACATATAAAGTAAAGCTGGCTCCCAAGTACAGTAAATAGCCACTGAGGGCAGATTTGATTCCCCTTTCTCTTAACAGGTTACCTCAGCAGGTTCAAAACTACTCTTCTCTCTCAGAGAGCATCTTACCACAGACCCTACACACACCACTTAAGAATGAGAAGCCTTAACATGACACTTACTTATCACACTAAAATAAGTTTTCTTCCCTAACCCAACCCCCAAACTCAAATTAAAAGCAAAATAAAAGCCTAGCTAAGCTGATGCTTCTTTTCCAGAGCCACAAAATCCAAAAGAAGAAAGATTTTCGTCACCCTTCTTGAGCTGAGCCTGGTTCACCCCATCCCATCCGGTGGAGTTCCATGGCTGACAATCAGTTGAATTTGTTTGAGGCCTAAATCACAAGGATAGGTTCAGAGCCCTGGAGGCTAGGCAGGACATTTGAGGGTGACTGCCTCAGTAGAACACCCAAATCCATTTCTCTGGGATGCGGTCATGCACATTTTTTCCTGTTCTGTCCCCCTACATCTGTGGCTTCATGAAGGAGACATACCCTAAAAGCCACTATCCATTCTAACACACAGGGAGTTTTCATAATACATTCTGTGAGGCAAAGCACCCTGATTTCCCCCAGGGGTTAACGTAAATATTAGAAGGCCTACTCCAGCTTGCAGGTGTCTGTAATTGGGCCTCCCTGCCTACACCATCCTTACCTCCTTCAAGACTGGATTCAAGAATATGGTAATTGGCTAATCATGTGAACCTGTGTTTAGTTCTGTAACTAGATGGGAGGGGGAAGCAGGAGTGGATGTTGTCATCCTCTGGAGGGTTTCATCAAGCAAGCTCCCTGATTGGGTTTGGGAGACCACCTGGTGCCAAATGGCCAAAGACTATAACCAACCCATAGACAAGAGGGAAGTCATGCTAACTTCATGATTTGAATGGGCAGTGACTCTAACTATGCCAAACCCCACTGCAATGGCCTGCTACATAGACAATGCTTAACCCTCTAGTTCGGATTCTGATGTTCTAAAAGGTGTGCCATCTAATACAAGGTATTGTAGTATTAGATAGATAAGTTGTTTCTTAATTTCTTGCTACAAGATTGTAGAGACTGTGTTGCTTAGTAATATCTTATTTTTTTAAGTATCTAATAAACCTTCATATATTTTACCAAGGTCTGGTTTCTTGTGTGCATATAACCTTGAGGACCCACAGGTCTGAGCACTGCTCACTTGCCCAAGGGGTAGTGACTCAGAGGGTCCTTGGCACATTCCCTTACAATGAAATTAATCCAATATACAGTGTTACCAAGCACACAGTTGCATTTGCAGACCTTCAGGCTGCCAACTCTGGATTAGGAAATACCTGAAGATTTGTAGAGTGGAGCCTGAGGAGGGTGGGATTTGGGGAGGGGAGGGACTCCAACTGAGTACAATGCCATAGAGTTCAACTTCCAAAGTGGCCATCTTCTCCAAGTGAATTGATCTCTGTCACCTGGAGATCTGTTGTTATAGAGGGAGATCTCCAGCCACTACCTGGAGGTTGGCAAGCCTAACATACTTAAATTTTCCCCCCTGCAGATGGAACTAGCTGTGTAAGAAATCATGACCAACACTCTTTTCATTTGAAGTTGTAAAAAAAACAGAACTCATCTCTCTAATCAAATCAGCCTTACAATTGTGGCAATGCAAAACACCAGATATTATTTACCAATACATATTTCTGATATAAATCAACTCGTTTCATTTTAATTTTCCATTTCTAAACACTTTACCTTGTAGTTTATACGTTTGTTTGTTTGTCAGTGCCATATTTGCTTGGACCTGTCTGTATTTGCTCTCCTTTTAGTAAAAGTTTAACTTGCTAGGAGTTCAGCTATCTTTCAACCTGATTCTAAAAGCTTATATAACCCATAAAAAGGTTTTTTTGAACTGGCAGAATTCTCTTATTACAATTAAAATGAAAGGACCAGCACAAATACCACCGCTTTAGGAATATATGTATATGTTTTGAAGCAGAAGATTTCTAAGACCATCCCAGTAATTCTAAATAATCTGTAACCAGAAACAGAAACATCTAAGGGAAATGTTTGAAAAATATTTTATGTCCTGAGCAGTAAACTATGAATATGTTTAACACATGAAAGCCCAATAGTCTGTCCCAGCAATACTGTACACAAACATAATTAATTATAATCACTGGTGTCAGAAATTTGATTAAACTACATCCCATTACTCCTTCTTCAGGCATTTTTCTGGATGAAGATCCAGGAAATCTTTAATTGACATAAGAAGCATCTGTCCATATTTTAAAAGCATAAAGACATGAATTTATGAAAGCCACAATTTATTACTGGGAAGAGCAGCACTCTGTAAAAACTCTGGAAGTCTTTAATATAAAGGATTCTTTTTTTCTTGTCTGGACTCTGCATTACTGCTCTATTCCTGTTGCATAACAAGCTGAAAGCCAGCAATAAACTAAACGTCAGCTATTTATAGATTTACTCTGCCCAGAGAGAAAGTAGATTAAACTGGTATAAAGTTCTAGTAGTCTACAACGATTCAGGAATGTGAAATCTATGAATGAAGGCCAGATCAGACATATCTGGCCCATTCTCCCTCTTTTGAACTTGTGAGTTTACAGGCAGGAAGGAAAATGGCCAAGGTCATGATGGCTGAACTTGAAACTGTGGGCTCTAAATGGCAGAGCAGCTACGAGAACCCTTTGACAGAAAAGTTTGAGAAAGGAAGCCCATGTAGCGTGCCACCAAAGTGGAACCAAATACATATGATACGGTTACCAAATGTCCTCTTTTTAGAGGACATGTTCTCTTTTTTTGGTGTCCATCCTCTTTTGACCTGTTTTTTAAAAACTGAAGAAAACGTCCTCTTTTTGGGTTGCAAGGTTAGGAATATTCCTAGTTAGCAGCAATGATCACAGCTTAAATAGCAGGGGTATAAAATGAGAGTTGTCATAGTGATCACTTGTTTGAAGTAGTCAGTTCAGAAACATGTCCTCTCTTTTGCTTTTCAAAATATAGTAACCCTAACATATGAAGCTGCTTTATTCTGAATCAGGTCATCGGTCCAGCCAAGTCAATATTTGTCTATTCAGACCGGCGGCGGCTGACCAGGGTCTCAGGTTGGAGTCTTTCACATCACCTACAACCTGATCCTTTTTTAACAGAAGATGGCAGAGATTGAACCTGGGACCGCCTGCATGCCAGGCAGACACTGCAACACTGAACCATGGGCCTGCCTCAGTCCACAGCTGAGAAGAAGCATCTTTTGAACTGAACTCTCATGTTGTTGGAAGTCTATGGCCTTGAACTACTTTTCACATGGCCGAGTCAAATGCAACACTGCTCCATGAACTGGGGCCAAAGAAGAGATCCTTAGTGTTTCCTTCCCTCTTATCTTCTTCTAAAGGATATACTTTAACAGCCAGCTATTCTACACAAAAGTACTGGCTCCTGTCTCTGCCACCCTTTAGCAAAAGTTTTGCTTTTGCTTACCCTGTATCGTTATTATTGTGTTTCCATATTTGATTCATTTTCTAAAATACAGAAAACATGTTGAGTGCAGAGAAAGAGGTATGTATATCATGTAACCATACAAAAGGTACATTTTATTTGAACATGTTAGAATTAGACAACATCAATATGCTGCTCCTCTCTCTCTCTCTCAACCTCTGGGTGCTGCTTTCTGACCTAAATCAGGGTCTGGAAGCCACCATCATGCAGATGAGGGAGAACAAAAGCCAATTTTTTAAAATAAATGTTTGAAGGCTAACATTACTCACAAAAAAATATCTTTCGCCTTTAGGGTAGGGACTGCATTGCAACTTCAATTAGCATTGGTCAACACAACTGGAAACAAGTGTCTCCATAACAATGAAAATACAGGCATATCATTCTTGTATGACAATTTTCCCCTCCAGTCATATAGAACAATTCTCACTTACTCAACAAAATAGACTTGTCCATTTTCATCTGTTTCTTGCTCCCACCCATATGGCAAATCTGAAAAAAAAGGTAAACAAGTACCATTCAGTGTGGCAGTGAAAACCTCTCATTTCAAAAATAATATATCCCTTCATTACGACAGAAATACTTGCGATTGACCACGACGGTCAACAAAACAAGGGGCCACAGAGAACCAGTACTACTTGGAATAGAGAGATCCTGGCATTACATTGGCAAATCAGCCATGGAGAGAGAATCTTAAGAACATAACCTGAGGAGAGTTTACTGGATTCAGCTGCAATGCTCACTTTCAGAAGAACTCAAAAGCCTGGTTTTTTTGACTGACAAGTCAACTTCTGGCAACCCTGTAGGGTTTTCATATCAAGAGACATTCAGAGGTGGTCTGACGCTTTTCAGTGAGATCAAGCTAGCCTGGACTATCCAGGTCAGGGCACTACAGTTTTGATGGAAGAAAGGGGAGGGGGGAAGATGCTTCCCCTTTTTTGAGGAAACTCCCTTAGATTAAGTGTTACCTGGAAAGAACCTGATAAAGGCTGCCACCACTTAGGTACCTCCTGAGAACGTCTAGACTGACCAGCTAAGGTTTCCTTCTAGCATGGCATTACAACTACTTCAACTATAAACAATATCCCTCAGAGCTTCCAGGATTACAGAACATATGAAATGGCTGCAGATAGGAGATAAGAAGAACCAGTTCTTAGGAACACCCATGTCCACAATGAATGTGAAGAACTACATGAAAATGGCATCTTTTATAATACCAGAGAGTCTGCAAAGTGGCCAGAATTCAGAAACAGTGCTTGAATAAGCACTGTGCACATACAGCATTAGTTAACATTGGAAGAGCTATCAGGCATTCATACTGTTCCTAACCCCCAAACACACAGGACAATTATTCAAGAGCAGGTTTAATACACAAAGGAGTTCTTGCTTATAGTTGTACTAGTCTACGTACACTTCAGAAGCAGCATGCAGATTTCAGAGCTAATGATCCAGGTTAGATGGCTTGAAAACAGACAAATATTATTTAAACCATGTTTTCCTAGCATTCATCACTAAAACCAGTGTTTTCAGGTTACAGCTCTCACCAAAATGATCTCAGAAAACGTGTTCCAAAGATTCTCATATAAAGGTAAAGGGGTTGATCCATTTGCTGGAAAAAACACAAACCTCCTGCAACACGCTTTCGTTTTCCAGATTTGGGATGGTCCCACTGAGTTCTCTCTTCAAGGTGACTGAAAAAGAGAACATTAAACATTACTTTGATTAAACATTGTTGGGAAAAGCAGTGCATCCTCAATAGCATTTTAGCACACACCAAGTGCATCTAATGTATACGTGGTCAGATAAACTGGGGTACTCTCTGTCAATACCCTCCAAGCTGCTTTGGGGCATAAATTACCCCTAGAGTACTTAACTGGGTATAAAAGGGCTCATTCTAAATTCATACCAAGCAAGGCAATCCATGCCAGCCTCAACAAACAGAACAGGATCATTCTAGATCATTAAGAGACAGAATTAACAGAAGTCCTTCCACAAATGGCGGTCACAACAGAGAAAGTCTATGAAGAAAGAGAACGAAGTGAGGAATGCTTATTCGGAAGACAAGATGTTTTTAGAACTCTATTTAGACAGAAGTGATGGTTTTGCAAGGTTTTTGTAAAGGTTTTATATTGCAAGATGGCTAGTAACCAGAAGTGGTGTTTTCGCAAGGGCTGGCAAGGATTTTTGCATTCTAAGTCGGGCAATTAACAGAATTGGTGACATCCCAAATAATTAAACAGTAATCATGGTTGGTGGAAGGCAATGGGCTTTGCTTGCACTTAAATGGAGTTGCTTTGCTGTTTGGAGCTTTGTCATAATTCATCGGAGATACTGGATAGTTATCTGATATTCTGTGAACAAAGCTGAGCATTGGTGGGCTGTATTGCTAGATTTCCAGAAGAAATGGGGCATGGTGAGCAGATGTGCAGTGAGGGCATTATCTCTCATACAGATGGAAGCAGGGAGACGTTGGGGTACAGGAGCTGGAAGTGGGAAGAGAATACATAACCGAAACTGCTCCTTATATAATCTCTGTCTACTTCTGAGAGATGAGGGCACAAAGGCCCCCCTCTCTCTCGGCATCACTGCGAATACTGTGCAAAACAGAAGGTGAGTGAAGTATAAAACTGCTCTTCTATTTGAGCAGCGGGAGAAGGAAAAAATACTGGTCTGGTTTGCAATGCTCCCTCTAAGCTGTGGAATCTTGTGAGCAAAAATTCTACTTAGTGAGCTACTGGCATTAAAATTATGAGCGAGCAATTTGACTACTGCAAGGCTAGCCCCTGAACTCCAATGTCGGCGAGGCAGTGGGTCAGTAGCTGATGGTCGACCATGTCAAACGCAGCCAACAGGTCTAACGACAGCAGCACTGCTGATCCGCCCTGATCCAGATGCTTCCAGAGGTCATCTGTGAGGGCGACCAGTGCCATCTCCATCCCGTGACCTGGGAGAAAGCCAGACTGGAAGAGATCTAAAATGGAAGCATAATCCAAAAAGCGCTGTAACTGCATTGCCACTGCCCTCTCTGTTATCTTGCCTAAATAAGACAAGTTGGAAACTGGCCGATAGTTGGCCAATTCGGTCTGATCCAAAGATGGATTTTTCAAGAGGGGGCGCACCACTGCCTCCTTAAGTGCCTCCGGGAACAGCCCCTCAGAGAGAGACTTGTTGACGATCTCCCACAAGGCACCCCGGAACCCTTCGTGGCCAGCTTTAATTAACCACGACGGACACGGATCAAGGAGGCATGTGGTTGGGCGTACAGTTAGGAGCAATTTGTAAGCTTCCTCTAGTTTGATTTGGAGCCATCCTTCCTGAGCTAAGACAAAAATGTGTAGCCAGAGGCTAAAAATTCAGCTTAGAGGGAACACTGCTGGTTTGTGCGAAGGAGACATGGTTAGATGAAAAATGATGAGGTGTATCTATCCCAGCTTACACCACCCTGATTATACAGACCTTCATCAACCCTGCCTCAGAGATGAAAAAGTGTATGGCTATTATCCACCACGAGTCTTTCTCCTTTTGCAGACCTAATTTGTTGTTCTGAATTGGTGGAAGAAGATCTACTCTGGGGATTGGAGATCAGCCTTGTCTGACCACTGTCTCCTCAAGGCGCAGGTGAATGTGGCACCAATGCTCCGCAGGACCAAACAAGCAGTTAAAATGATTCACCCCTGGAGACTAATTGAAACAATCAGCCTCCAGTATGCCTTGGGTGACTTTAAAATACCAGCTGATGGCCTTGTTGAAATCAAATACCTGGAATGAAGCTCCTGGAAGCTATGAACATTGTGGCCTCCTGTCCACCTCTCCAACCCTCCAGACAAAATGCAGCACCTTGGGTTTATTGTGGAACCAGGTGACTTGAAGAAGGTGGGGTAACATCTCAAATACAGCTGGCAGAAAACACAAACAGACTCTGACAGGCTATGCTATAGAACTCCCTGGACGACCTATGAGGCAGCGGAGATGGCAGCAAAAAAATCCTACTTTGCTGCTACTGTGGTGGGATCCAGTCTGCACCCAGCTCAGCTGTTTAAAATAACTTGTCACTTGTTGATTCCAAAGTCTTAGTCTTCAGAAACAGGAAATTAGCTGTGATGTTTTTGTAAAGTTCTTTGCTGGAAAAAAAATCTCTCAAATAACGGTCTGATTTGAATGCTGGACATAATATAGTTGAGATAACTAGAAACCCCCCACTCAGCATCCATTGCCTACAAAAACCTTGAAAAGATTGTACAGCAGTAATTATGACTACTTGCACTGAGTTTGCAGATGCCCTTCATTCTCAAAGTAGCTTGGTTAGTTCAACAAGGCTGGAGGTTGAAGCAAAAGTGCTATCAGAACACCTGCTACGCCAAAGTCCCTAAAATACTTACGTGGAATTGCTTTCTCTCTCAAGTATGAATGTGGGGCTATACTTTCTTGTTCCAATTCCCAAAGCAGGAACTCCACTGCCAAAGTATAGAAAAGTTATGGGTGTATCCACTTCCCCTGCTGCTTCCCAGAAACTGAGACTTTTGAAAGGATTCTGTAACATGTATTTCCAGTATCTGCATGCCTAACCCAAAGAAAGTCATTATGCTTACTGGTTAAACTTGCAGCTGGTGTTACGAAAGATGCTTCAATACACTGCTTGCACCAGTTACCTAACGAGATGTTCAGATAATGCCCAAACAAATTCAGATGTGTTCTTTTCATGTGATAACACTGTTTTCCCACATGCCAGAAAAGAACAGTAAACCTTAGTCCAAACTGGCCTCAGCAGCAGTAGCACATGATAGAAGAAAAATTTAAAACAGTGACCATGGCAAGCAACTAACAACTGGAACTGGAAGGATTTATAGTGTGGCCCTGTAGCTACCATCAAGCAGATCCAATCAAGTTCTTGCCTTGCATCTTTTTGTGGCCGAAAACCAAGGTAAGTTTGTAACATGCCTAGAAGTTAACAGCTGAAATCTGTCACACTAACAAGAGCTACACCATACTAAGCAAAATCTAAAGCGATGCAACCTGATACAACCAAGGATCGGCAACACAAATACAGGATCCCACTGAGTGTTTTAATTACTGAAACATTGCAAAGGAGACAAGGTACATAGCATGTTGCATAGCAAGGCCTGTAGTGACCTAAACTTCACAAAAAATATAGACCAACATCTGCATCCCATAACAGTTTGCCCAGATATTTTTTTTTAAAACATGGTAACTTATTATCTAACTTTAACAAAAAGAGATAATAAAAGGGAAATGCTGACCGCCACTTTGGAGTCAGGCAGCCATTTTTCTCCAGGCCAGTTTGGCCAGGGATCCTGGAGGAGTTTTTTTTTTTTTGCCATCTTCTGGGCATGGAGCAAGGGTCACTGGGTGTGTGGAGGGGGGGGAGATATTTGTGAATTTCCTGCATTATGCAGGGGGTTCGACTAGATGACCCTGGAGATCCCTTCAAACTTTAAGATTCTAGAACACCACTAGTTGTCACATACAGCTCTCAACTCAAAACAGTTCAACACCTCATCAGTGACTTACAACCTCTACTGGATAATGACAGTTCCCTTTCACAAGTACTGAGGCGCAAACCTTTTTTTTGCACACAGACAACCCCCCAATCTTAAACAACTCCTCACCCACAACAATACAACATCTAATTTGAACATGGACGCTGGTACCAGAACTTGCAATAAAACCAGATGCCAACTTTGCAACCGTGAACACCCAGGCAACACAATCACCGGACCTAACAACTTCAACTACACATCTCAGGCGCATTCACTTGCTCATCTTCTAACATCTGCCAGTAAAAGCCAACAATTGCCCTTCAGTTTTCTACATAGGGCAAACAGGTCAAAACATATGCTAAAGGATAAATGGACACAAATCTGACATCCAGAATCTCAAAACTGAGAAACCTATAGAACAGTTCAACCTTCCAGGAAATTCAATGGGGAACCTCAAAGTAGCTGTTTTATTACAAAGGAATTTCAGAAACAGACTAGAATGGGAGACTGCCGAGTTATAAATTCCTGGCAACACCCTCCCCACCTTCTACTTATGTAATGGTTGGTGACTTCTGTTTCAATGTATCTGAAGAAGTGTGCATGCACACAAAAGCTTATACTCAGAATAAAACTTTGTTGGTCTTAAAGGTGCCACTGGACTCAAACTGTGTATAACTTTAACACTGGGATGTGTCAAGAAAAAATGGTGTGGCAGTGAGAGAACAGGGCACCAATGCCAACTTTTGAACCAGCACTCATAGCCATCTGTCCCTTTACCAGTAGTTTTGTGTCTCAGCAGTTAACTATTATTACTGAATTCCACATCCTAACAACTAATATTACTGAACTGGTCCATACCTCCAGGTAAGTTTGGAAGATGAAACCTCAGTTCTAAGCATACAAGCAAGCTAGGTGCTTGCCCTCCGAGGACAGCTAGAAACCATTTTCCCATGTTCATGCCTGAAGCATAAATATTAAATTAATAGCTGAACCCTAACCCAAATTAAGGATTACAAGCATATGAGAAGAACAGACAGAAGTCAGGATGTGTTACTAAAGGATAGCTGTGCTGGTCAATCACAGCAAAAACCAGCAAGCTTTTTTATTCCAACTCTCATACAGGAATAACATTTCGTTAGCCTTTAAAAGGTGCCATGGCTGCTTTTTTGTTTGTTTGCCATCAAGTTGCAGCCAATTTATGGTGACCCTATAGAGTTTTCAAGGCAAGAGTCATTCATAGGTGGTTTGCCATTGCCTGCCTCTGCACAGCAACCCTAGCATCCTTCGGTGGACTCCCATCCAAGTACTAACCAGGCCTGACCCTCCTTAGCTTCTGAGATCTGATGAGATCAGGCTAGCCTAGGCTGTCCAGGTCAGGGCACAGCTCCTTTTCGTTCCCTGGAATCCTTGCCCATCATAAAAGGTGAGAGAGAAGAAGATTCACCAGCTGAATTCTTGCCTGCCTGAATCTACACCTTCTCTATGGGGATGGGATCACAGACAATACCATCCCAACAAGACAGAGGGGAAGTTTGCATCAAGCAGGGGGAAGAGGCAGTACAGCTAGTATATCCCATTCAGATCCCTCTCCACAAACCACTGAGAAGGGAGGGGGAGATTAACCCTTTCTGCGTTCTCCTAACAACTCCCCTTACCCCCATCGCCTGCAGCAAACAGAAATGGAGCTTCCTTCTCCAAGGGCACACTGAAGGAAGAAGCACCTGCTGAATTCTTCCTGATCAGCTACTGAAGGTAAGGATGACAGGGTGCTGAAACCCTGTTGATAAGGCAGAGAACTTTGCACTTGTGCAGGGGGCCTAGTATACCTACTCAAATCTTTCCCCACAAGCCTCTGGGAGAGAGTGGGAAGCACCCTGCATGCACCTCTCTCCTGTTACCTTCAAAGGGCTAGAACCTTTCCTACTCCTGGCAGCCCCCCCCCCCCCCCCTTTCCCCCCCCGCCACCCCCCCCCCCCCCAGCTTTCACCCCCAACTAAGCTTTATCCTTCTCCTTTTCTTTTCCCAGCTAAGGGAAGAAGGTGCACCTGCTAAACACCTACCTGCCATACTGACATCAAGAATGGGAGCCAGCACAGTGTATCCTTACTGGACTGGGATCTGGGAGACTCAGGTTGAAACCCCCACTCTGCCATGAAAGACATTGGGCCAGTCACTCTCTAACCTACCTCGCAGTGTTGTCATTGAGGGGACAAAACAGAGAAAGACGGAGCATTTAATTCACTCCCCCCCCCCTCCTTAGAGAGAAGAGCAGAAGTGGAACCACCTACATAAACAAGGCGCAGAAGTTGGCACCAACATGTGCATGGAGCCGGGGGAGGGGGGAAAGTCTTACAAAGCGTTGGGAGGGAAGAAAAACGAGTCCGGGAAGCAGCACCTGCTGTACTTCTGCCTGCCGTGCGTCTGATTATGGGAAATTCAGGTGGGTGCAGGAGGTGGGAAGGAAGCAGCCCGTTCAGACCCCCTACTAAGCGCGGGGGGGCGTCCTCCACACACCCCCCGCAGCCCCAGACCCCCACCCTCTTTAGGTGCCCTCCTCACTTGGCGTAGTACACCCAGCCGTCCTTGGTGGTGCGTTCCTCCCAGCCGGGCGGCAGCTCCTCGTCGCTGTCGGTGTCGTCCAAGCCCGCGTACTTCAGCGCAGCCATCGCCGCCCACAAAGACTCCCCGCGAAACTAAAAGCCTCACAGCCGGCGACCGAACCTTCTCCCTTCGCAGGCACACTTAGCCGGAACTCTTCTTCAGCTGTGCGAAGAAGAACCCCTTCCTGTGCTCCTGAGCCAATCGCCAGGCGCGGCGGGCAAGGCACCCTGGGAAATGTAGTCCCTGGAGGGGAAACCCACGTGCCGCTTCTCTCCGCGGGAGAAACGATTCGGCCGGCGCTGCGTAGGAAGCGGTGGAAGGGAATTGTTGTGTGAGACCCAGGGAATTTTCTATAGAGGGAGCGGGACAGGGTCGTTGTTAAACAGGAAGAGGGCTGGCTCATTCGGGGGAAATTTCCAGCTCTCTTTCTTTGGGTCTTTCATTTTTTTTAATGGTTCTTTTCCTTTAATTTTTACAGACAAAACAGAAGAAAAAAATGCATGCAAGATGACCCACCAAGCTCTGTTTCTGTTTTTCAGTGTTCTGTCTTATAAAGGCAAGGGCTCCTGGAATAATGGATAAGTCCACTCCTAAGTGTTTATTTTGAAATATAGTCAACTTTAAATGATTTATTAATACGATTTCACGCAGGCCCGTAGCCAGGATTTCCTAAGTCAGGGGGCCTTTAAATAAGTCAGGGGGCACTGATAAAATAAAATAAAATAAACTCACACTCGCAGGCAGGAGCAGGGTTATTTCCCCTATTGTGGAGGGTGGGTGTAAGTGGAAGTCAGTCACTGACTCCGAGTAACCTGAGGAGGATCCTCTCCTCCTCTCATTCTCCCCCCCCCCAACCGCATTGGCTGTGTGGCGTGCAGGAAACTACGGCAAAAGTGGCAGGCTCCTGTTCGGTTCCTTATTTATTTCTTCCTGGCTGACTTCGAGCTTCCAAGGTGACTTTGCCTTGGTCACACCCCCACCCACCACCCTGCAGGGGGGCTTTCTGCTGCAACACTTCTCAGACTTGGAAGTGGCAGCCCGCCCTGGGAGACAAGCCAAAGGAGGAGAGGTGGGCGAGCAGACGGGATGGAGATTGCTGCTCTGCTGCCCTGGTGGCTTGTGTGCACCCTGCATTGGTGCAACCCGGCTGGACTGAGAAGGCGGGAGCTGAAGGAAAAACCCGGGAGAGTGAAAGATGAGGGAATGCTGTTTTTCTCTCCCTTGGTGGCCAGCTTCCTCAGCGATGAGGGCACAGGCTCATGCAAGCCAGCAAGGTCTGCAATCTTGCACTGGAGGAACAAGGGGAGAAATCTCTGTAGTTGCAGGTTCAGCCACAGGACCCACAGCCCCTGGCCGCACCTCACCTGCCAGCCCGCTCACCTGGCTGCCTTGCACCGCTTCATGCCGTGGCTTAGGGATGTGCATTCGGTTTGTCTGAGCTGAATGCACCCCCGAAAATGGCCCATTCGGGCCTCCTTCGGGCTGCTGTGGGCCAATTCAGATTCTCTGATCTGAATCATGGGCCCCCAAACAGGTTGCCCCCATCTCCTCCATTGTTCTCTATGGTGGGGGAAATGTTACTTTTTCCCACTATAGAGAACAATGGAGGGGATGGGGGCAACCTGTTTGGGAGCTCATAGAATTGTCCCCCCATGGTCCAATGTTCTTGAAACTTGGTTGGTATCTTGGGGAGAGGCTCCAGAAGCCACCCTGCAAGTTTGGAGCCTCTCCCACAAACCACCTCCCCTCCAGCCCCCTAGAATATACCCTATGTTTTCACCATTGACTTCAAAGGCCCATAGGATATAATGGGGCCAAAATTGACATTCGGCTGGCAGAAAGACTCCCCAATGGGCTCCTACTGCCGAAATTGACATGCGGGAGTCTTTCTGTGGCTGCCAGCCCAGGATGGAGCCTGTGGGGCTGCTGACAAGTGGGGAAATTGTGGGGCCTTGGTAGGAAGTCGGTGGGCCGGGCCCCAGAATGCTTCAGTGTAGCTACAGGCCTGATTTCACGTTATCATACTGTTAGGCTCTGGTCTTCTTTTCTGAGCCAGGTTCTTGACAAGTGGAATTATTTCCTTCTGAAAGTATGGCTGCAGTCACACACACTTAACAATACACTTTCAGTGCACTTTCCAACTAAATTTTGCCAGTTCACACAGTAAAATCCAGTTGGAACATGCACTGAAAGTGGATTATTTAGGATGTGTGACAACAGCCTGTGTCAGAACTGGGAAGACTTCATATTTTTAGGAGGGTTCTGGTTAGTGAGTATAAGTGTAGGGATTCTTGGGGAAAAGAAGATTTAATCTTTCACCCTTAATAAGTCCGTCAACCCATTCTAGATATTTCAGATCAATTGTAGCAAAAATGAAAGATGTTCCTTAGCTGCATACTTTGTGGACCAGTTGATCATGCCACCTTGAGAAGGGAAGAAATTCAAGGCAAGTTTATTGTGTTCCAGAATCGGGGGTGGAGGAGCTGAGTGTGATGTGAAGAAGTTCCTCTTACATGCTCTATCCAACCTTTTCCCCTTCTTCTCCTTCCTTAGCCCTTTACCAGTACAAATATTGTGTAGGGATGTTGTACAGGTATTACCCACCCAGGCCAGTACAGGAATGGGAGGGAATCCTGTACTTTTTCAGTACATTAAACAACAACCCAAGAGGTAGGCTATACCCTCTCTGGATTTCAGAACAATTTGCCACCAGAACCTCTTCAACTGAGGTCCCCCCCCCCCGCCCAAGAGCAGAGATTCAGACTCTTAGCTGGCCTCTGGGACTTAACAATTACTATCACAGTGGTAGCTCTGTGGTCAGAGTTAGGCTGCAAGATTTATACTTGGAATTCGAGTTATACCACCAGAGACAAACTAGAAATAAGAATAATTTTTATTCAGTACAGAGCATTGCAATTAGACTACAAAATATTTCAAAACAATAAAGGCTAGGGCTATTTGCCTTAACTAAACAGTAATGGTTCATATTTACCAAGTCAGGAATCCATCAATCCAAATAGTCCAAGTACCAAGGGATTTTTAGAAGAAATCCCATCTTTGCCAACCATGTGCTCAGTTCACAAAGCAGTTCTTTGTCTCTCGAGAGACAGCATTTCCAGGTGTCATAAAACAAACAGAGAGAACAGGAGCAGAGAGCAAGAGAGAGCGAGTCTCTCTCATTGGGATCAAACAATTATACCCCAATTCCAGTCACCAATTAGATGTGGCTATTAGCCAATTGGAGTGGGCATGGGTGTGCCCAATTGTTGGTTGTCATGGCTATGTGTGGGGATAGGCAAGAAGTTTGGAAACTCCTCCTGCAGTCAGGTGACCCAACTTCCAGCTTCTCCATTATGTACGTGACATGGCCCATGTAGCCTTAAAGCAGGCGCCTTGAAGTCTAGCTCTTCCACTTAGAGGTGTGAAAGAATGTGTGGTTGTATGGCATGGCATGAGGTTGTTCAGGCCATTTGGTCTGCCCTGGACCATTCGGCCTGCACAGGAAACAGAGACATAGAATGTCATCACAGGAGAAGGCATGAGACTTGTAGAAATCAATATTTCTATACAGATGTGGATGGCAATAATTGTTTCATGAGTCTTTTATCCTCAGGGTCTGAACAGTCCTTTCCAATTGGTTTGGCTAAGAGAGTACCAATCTGTTTGGAGAGCAAGTTGATCTTTTCAAACATTTTTTGCAGAGCTTCTGAAAGTAAAAGGGTTTGGAACGCTAGTAAAGCTAGTATCTCTGATCTCTTGTTTGTGGCAGCGTTGTTTTCGTTTCTTTTTCAGGATGTCATCAGAAGCTTTCAAACTGATTAGAGGGTCCTGCTGGAAACAAACTGAAAGGGTCTGGGTGGGGCGTGGCATTGGGTGCTTAGAAGATGGACGCCTAAAGAGTGAGCTCTGACCCTCCATCCATCTTGAACCTCAATAATCAGCAATCTAAACACATCTAATATCAAAATATTGTGGGCAAACTGAAACCATACAAAGCTACCTTGATTTCAAAAGCCTCCAAGCAAAAACTGGACTTCTACATGCAACCTTCCACGAGTATGAAAGATGACATGGATACAGATAAAATGGCGACCGAAAACAGCCCAGTAAGCCCCCCATGCCTTCCCTTCTCTGGAGACATGTTAACCACTTTACTAAAGAATATAAAGCCTTTATGTTCGCCGCCCTGATCCCGCTTGCAGGGAGGGTGGCCTAGAAATCAAATGATAAATAAAATAATAAAATAAATACTGGAAAACATGTCAGCCCTCATTAAACCCTTCTCAGAGCAGTTTGCAGAGTTTAAAATCTCACTTAGTAAAACCAACCAAACAGCTGAAAGTGCTCTAGAACTTGGGGGGTTATCACAGGAGGATTTCCATGTGCTGCCCATGGAAAATGGCTACCTTAAGGATTGAGTATTAAGCTTTGAACTCTGTGTGCAGGCGAACTTAAAATTCAGAGGCTTTAGAGAGGAATTAAACCCCAGTGGTGATTTACCGGCTTTCCTCATGGGCTGGCTTTCACAGGAGCTCCATCTAGATGATGGAGTGGCACCATTAATTACTAAGGCAACTTGTCTGGGCCTGCTCAAAAATCCAAAGAGACATCGCCCTAGAGACACGCTGTGTTCCCAGACTTTAGATCCAGAAAGATGGTCGTAGAAACAGCCAGAACTCATGGGTCCCTCTCCTTCAAAGACGATCCGATTCTCGTCTTCCCTGATTTACCCCTAGAGGTTCTTAATAAAAGGCATGAACTACAGATGATCACAGAGGCCCTTCATCAACCAAAAGTGACAAACCTAACTAAACTTCAAGTGAGACACAAAGACAAGACATACTGCGCAATAGATCAAGATACCGGGTGAGCTCTCCTGCAAGACTTACAAATACTGCTGTTGGCAGACCTCAGCAAGATGACACAGAAGAGGAAATCAGATCAGCTGCCATCTCTGCTCAAGAGTAGTAAAATATCAATCCATAATGTTTAGTTTATATATCAAGTTTTCTAATCAGTCTTCCTGCCACTGCTATTTTAAACGTTGTGATGTTCAGGGCTCTTTACGGCAGTTTAGATAGTGTAGTACTTATAAGGACAGGTGTAGTACTTAATAAGGACAGGTGAAGCAATCT